ATGTTGGGCAATAAGAAGTGAACAGGGGTTATGGCTCTCATAAAATATTCACACCACTGGCTCTTTATACAGCAGTTTCTCCTGAGTATGATTAATCACATGCTATTATTTAAAGTTCCTACAGCGTGGGAGTTTATGTTTCACTACCATTCACAGATTAGATTATAGAAAATTAGTTTCAGATGAACTGTTTGGTTCAGGTAGATTAATCCACTCTGATGATGCCTATCAGCCAATCGAACTCCTTCTTCAAACCAACTGGCCATGTCCCTGGAGTTATCCAGAAAGCGATAAACAACCGGGGAGAGTTTCTCTCCACCTGGCAGTAATTGTTCTGCAAGCACTCTTCTCTTATCTAAGACAGACATTTATCCTGCTATTTAGTGTAATTAAAGCATAGGTACTAATCTAAAGCTCCTACCCAGGGAGCAGTTGTCTGATGGCAGCAGATTCACAGCACGCACAACAGCCTTAATTTCAATAACATGTTCAGCTGATGAGGAGGAAGAAAAGGGTGAAGTAGGTAATGACATCTTCAGGAGCTCAGGATGCGTTCACTGCCAAGACAGTGAGTGCAGGGGATCAGCACAGGCAATGCTCAGAAGGCATGGTGTCCCTTGGCGATCACTTGTCTCCAGTCTGGATGGGAGAGCTGCTGCATCTTCACAACACAAAGGGGCACCACGCCACCCTTGTTCCAGCTAAGGGGTTTGAGCCCAGCACAAGAGCCACTGCCTATTTGAAGCCAACACTAACTCGTCTCATACACTATTAGAAATGACCAGAAAGACATTTGGAAACAGCGGACACCACTACGTGAACGTTGCTATCCTGTCAGATTAGGATTCAATTAATCTTCCAAGATAAAGGTCAATAGTTTGTCAGCTCAACTTACCTCTTACGATGATGTTGGTGGACTTTTTCGCAGGATTTCCAACATTGTTATTGGCGATGCAACTGTACGTGCCAGCATCGTCTGACGTGATGGCAGGTATTGTTAAAGTGCCACCATTCAGGACCGTCTTCTCGGGCAGGATGCCAGCAGACCTCACCCACGTCAGGCTGGGGGCTGGCTCCCCTCCTGTCGTCACACAGACCAAGGTGATTGCTTCTCCAGGGTTCACCACTATTGGGTCATCCACAAGAAGCTTAATTGAAGGGGATGCTGCAAAACACAAGAGGAAGAGAAAGGTGTAGCGGGGCTCCGTCTGTGGTATTGCTTAGTCCTGACAAGCACACTCAAGCCAACTGAGATCAGCAAAGGCACGTCAGCTACAGCGCTCTTCTGACTACGTGCCCTCTGAGAACGGTGCTCCCCATCCTGATGCTCCCCCTGACACCACATTTCTCACCCCGCTCTGTCATCATCTTTCGCCTTGCTGTCAATCTGCAGATGAGGATTTATGTATGGACAACCCTACGGCTGTGCTTGGGAAGTAACGTATAATATATGGGACAGGTGCCAGCACACTGGATTTTTAAACCCTGGAAGAAAGGAATTAGTAACAACCTTCTTATTTGGCATGAAAAGCATGTTGTTCTCTTCAGGTCAGATCCTACCCATTGAAAACCAGCCCTCTTAATCCACCCGCCTCCCCGATGAACTCCTTGAGACTTGGCTGCCAACTGAGATGAATTTGTAGAGTTTGAGTTGGGTCTGTTGAATCAGGAAGAGTCCTCTCCCTTGGGACAACATCTCCTTGCACACGGAGAAACCGAAGCATCCAGCACAGATGCTTTTTTCCCTGTATAGGCTGTGCAACCTGCAGCTCACAACACCAGCAGACAGCGTGGCCACAGCTCCATCTCCTCACCGACACGGGGGAGAGGTGCAGATTTGGGTCCCTACTGATTTCCATACAATAACTTCTGACCAGCTGCAGGGGCTTTGTTTGGGCAGGACCACCAAACCAGCCAAACTACACTGCAGCACAGGCTAACGGAAAGATGATGCTGCCCTCAGAAAGGAGAAGCAAGTGATTAAATTTCATTCTCTCTTCTTGCCTCTTCTTTTCCATGAAATATTTGCATATGATATAAGGCAAGCAACAGAAATGCTCAGTATGAAAGGACAGGGCAGGGCAATTTATTTTAGATGCTGGAATTGCAAATCACAATCTGAGCTATGACATCCCCTGTCATTTGCGTTGAGGGGTCCACCCTTGCTGGATTCAGGCTTTGCTTGAAGGCATACCCTTAACCGCGTAAGTGATGAGCCAACATATAAATACATATTGCTAGTACAGAAAAAGCAGCAATACTAAATAAACACAGGCATGAACGTGAAGGATTGAAATTCTGGGCAAAGAATACCAGAAAACGTAACAATAAAAAATGAAAGGAAATAAAATGTTACATCCAAAAATCATGTCACTATCCTCATTATTACAGAGATATGTTCTTGTGTGTCTGCTTTATATATGAATCTTATTTCAACATTAAAGGAATACACACTGATCACTAAAGGCAAATACAAGAGTCAACTATAAAATAAGTTTTCTTTATTTGGAGTTCACCCAAGAGGAATTAGCTTTCTCTGCATTCAGAAGCGGGAGCACACAAATGGGAAGCACTTCATTTGTACCTGTCCTAGCACAGAGAGAACAGGCAACCTCCAGCCGGGGAAACACTTCAAGAGAGGAGGAGAGGAGAGGTTCACAAGCAAAGCCCCCTAATTCCAGCTCCTCCCGGCTTGGGACCCTGCAGATACTTCCCAGCATAAATTCCTGCGTTCATGTAATCAACTTAAAGGTGAAGAAATTGGGTGCGTGGCTAAAAATACAGACAGAAAACAAGTCAGCACTGCCCACTAACTGTGTCAGTGTCTGTTTGCTCATGTTCTCTGACCTCATATTCTTTCATCAGTTGATGCATCCATCAGTTGATGGACCCCTGTTTTGGGATTAGAGGTATGAAACTGGGCAGTATGTCATGTTTCACGCTTAAGTAGATTTTGTTTGGGTGAAGGCGGCAGAAGCAGGGATCCAAGTGCCTGCTGTGCAACTAGAACTGAGCTCCAGACCTGTAGGGTCATCACCAACCAGGGGATAGCACTCAGCTGGCCCCTCTTTCTCTCTCCCTCCCTTCCTCCTGAGTTTAATGATTTTTCCTGAACAACTCCGGCAAGGAGCTGCTCTCTGTTCTCACTAAACACCAAGTCATGAAACAGGGAACAAGAGAACCACAAATAATGCTTCAAAACTTAGAACAAAAGATGAAAGCTCCAACAATGTCAACCCAACCTGGTGGTGCTGTTTACCATAATGGCCTCATAATCCTCCAGATGAAAGGGGGCCCTTTGCCATCCTTCAGGTAGACAGACAAAGATAGCAGCTGATGTAATAAAAATGCTGTGATACATCCCTTTCATCACAGCACTCAAAACAGTAAGTACATGAAAATTATGGTTTGCTTACAGCAATTTCTCTTTGCTTACACCACACATTTCACTTAACTACAACCTATCCCACTAGACAAACACAAACAAAAATTCAGCAATACACTCAACTACCATTAAAAGCCTGATTTAAACCAAAGAATATTAAGAAATTCAGAAGGGATGTTAAGGTTTCCAGCAAATGAAACTCAGTGTAGCATATAAAGGGTCAAATACCTATTATGAATAAATATGAATCCACAGCAACAATGAGCTATTATTTTGATATTTCTCTGCTTGAAACCCTGTACATAATCTGCACCATATCGCAATGCACCAATAACACAGAACTTCTTATTTTCAGCTTTATGGTGAAACCAAGGATAGAATTGGGTCTACCGCACCACTTACTTGATTTATCATCATGTGCACGTTGCCAAATTCTGGCCTAGGAATAGAGAGATTGGAATTTTCCTGGTGGTCACTTGGACTTTGCCCTTCCACTGCTGAAACACGCTCAGCACCACCACCAGCCCCACACTCGCCCATCTCTGAGAGTGCAACCTCCACTCTCAGTGCAATCAACATTGACCTCTCCTCCTTCCAGCCAAGGATGGGGAAAGGTGGTAGTCAACACCCATCTGCTCACGTGCCAAACCCAAGCTGGAGACCCGTGGTTTCTCATCACAGCTCTGACTGGCTGTTTCAGCAAGGAAAGGGGAGAGAGAAAAAGAGAGAAGCGGGGGGAGTTGGCCATGGAATGAAGGAGGCAAACGGCAAAAATCCCAAATGCTCGATAACTCCAGCGACGTGCTCAGACACGGTGGGGTGGCAGAAAAATGGCTTTAGCTCTAAGTTAGAGAGTGCTTGTGTTCACTTCTCTATGTCAGCCTGGACCTAGATGTGGAAACGAATGGGGCTAAATCACAAGTTTAGTCACCTGCTGGAAGACCTGTATTAATTGACTTAGGTTAATTAACAGCACGTAGGCCTTCTGCAGGTCTGCTTTACTGGATAGCTCCTCTGTTTGACTCCATCCAGAAACGCTTTCCCCTCCTAAACTGGAGGAACACCTCTAACTGCTCCCCGCAGGACGCTGCAGCAGTGCAGCTGCAAACAGCTGCCTCTCCCCACAGATTGGGAATGCAAAGCTGTAGCACAGAAAGGAGAAATGAAGGCACAGTCACAAACCCCCATGTAACGGTAGGGACAGTAAGCCCTGGACTGGGCTGCTCAGGGTTGCTGCAGAATCTCCCTCTCCCCCAGATTTTCTGAGCAAACATCTGTTAGACAAAAAGTTTAGGAGTACCTCCTGTTTGAGCTAGGGAAATGGAGCTCACTATCATGTGAGATCTCTCCCTGTTCTAGTTTCAGCGACAGCAAGAGGTACCGCCAAAAGGCAATTCCTCTTATCTACCTTGAGCTATCTTCTTGCAAGAAACTTCCCCTGTGGTATCCATCTCTCTGCTGACGGCAGACAGAGCCCAAAGATTAGTTTAATCTAGACAGGTAAGATTTAGATGGCAGAAGATGTGTGACATCAATCCTACCTTTAGGATGAGGATTTACAAATGCATCAGGAGCCTATAGATGGGAATGGGCCGAAAGTGCCGTTTTTAGCAATATACATGTGCCAACCTTGCATTGATCCCAGTGTTTCACAAATCCTCTTAGACCCTGCACTTTCAGAAGACTGAAATTTTGGCCTAATCCTCCTCTAAAATGGATTTCTTGTCTCTTTTATTTATTTGTAAACTTTTGGGGCTAAACATCACATACAGCATAAATCTGAACCGTGTAATTCATCGCCACACATTTTTTTTGGTCCAGCATGATTAAAAAATGGAGTAGGCATTTATAAAGATGACAAGACGATCCAGAGCAATTATAATAGTTGATGATTATACCAAAATATTGTTGAAGGATTATTAAAACTCATGCTTCAGGGCATAAAATGGTATCTTTTTCTGGAATGGGAGGGCAGACTATCACATATCTGTCTACTGCACACTTTTTATGCACTCTTCTGAAATGTCTCCTGCTGGCTCTTGTTAAGGACGGGCATGAGATCTGATCCAAAAGGACAATGCATGTGTTTATACATCCTTTGCATTTGTAAAGCATCTAGCATGACTGAACCCCAGCTAGGAGACCCACGATGCAGTCCCAGCAGCTCAAGCTGCGATATTTGTTTAGATAGCAGGAAATCATGGAATTGAGTCAGAAGGAAGAGGAGATAAAGACTTCTGCAAAAGATCTGACCTTATTAAAATGCCACTATTGTAAAAGCCAGTACATGCAGTTGTGTATTCCTGGTCCAAGTCTGAAATGCACTGGTTTTGCCTTTAATATGTATATTGCTTTGGGGAGTCAGGCTTCAGCCTCCAAGATCCAAGTGGTTTCACCCAACGGCATCCACACCAACTGTGGGAGCAGGCATACAAGTGTGAGCCAAGCCGCCTTCCACTTCCACAGCCCAGCCTGCCTTCCCGAAACAAGGCTGGAGCCAGTACTGACATTCTGCCTGTTCAGTTTTTGAAAGGCACAGAAAGGTAACCTAAGCTTATTGGGGCTTGTGAAGACCCTCACATCCTTACAAACAAGCTTTCACATGGTCCCAGCCGAGTTCATTCAAAATGACACGTACTGCAGTGACAGTAAGCCAGCAATTTATGCCTCCAATCTTGATTTTATTATTTAAGTTTTACAAAATTTAGTTTCGCCAAGCAAGGAACTATGCTGGTCGCCACGTTTACACAGGGCTTTTCTTACATGAAAGGCGCTTTAAA